CCCCGGCTGTAGAACTGGAAGGAGGGCAGGCTGGCGTCGATGCCCACGGAGACGGGGCCGATCCTGGCCACGGCCCTCTTCAAAGCCTTCTCGTTCCCTTCGGGGATTTCCCGGTAGCCGCGGCACTTGGCCGCCTTCCCGGTGGGGCTGTACATGCAGCTCTCGTCCTGCGTGGGACCAGCAAGGTCAGGGTGAGACGAAGATGGGAGGGCAATCAGGGGGGTGCAGACAGAGACCTTCCCCCCCGCTCCCAGCCCCAGCCCTGGCCGATGTAGGGGTAGGCATCCTCCGAGTCGATGCCGCGGTTCTGCCGGACGTACTCGAAGGCGTTGGTCATGTAGCCGCCGCCACAGCCGTTGTTGTTGGCCACGCAATCCACCAGGTTTTGGGGGCTGAGGGAGAGCAGCTTCCCCGTCTTCCGCTTCAGCTGCCCCTCCAGCGCGCCCACCGAGCTGAAAGCCCAGCAGGAGCCGCACTGGCCCTACGGGGACACAATGGGTGACACCAGGGTGCCACCCTGCCTTGGGCACCCCCGGGAACACCCCACTTACCTGGTTCTTGACGGGCGTCACGTAGCCTTTCCTCCTCCAGTCCATGGTAGCCGGGGCTCTCTCGGTCCAGTCGGGGATGTAGAGTGTCTCGTTGCGACGTGGGCGGCCACGGGGCACCTTCAAGCCCGTCATCGTCCTCACCACCTCCTCACTGGTCTGGGGACAGAGCCCAGGGTGGATGGGTGCAGCCCTGGGGCTGCTGGGCAAAGCAGCACCCAAGGGTGCTCTCTCCCACCCCATTACTGTCCCCCCCTGGTGACGCTCACCATGTCCCCCAGGTGGTTCATGGCCAGCTCGAAGGTGTGGACGCCCAGCGCGTGCTCCAGGTTGTGGGTGTTGATGTACTTGAGGTTCTTCTCCCAGATCAGCCTCCGCGTCACCTCGTCCGCCTGCACCACGGGGTGAGACGGCGCTGGGCAGAGGGGTCCTGCCCACGTCCCCCACCACCAACAGGGACAAACGCAGGGACACCAGCCCCAGCCCCACGGGGACATCCCCAGCTCCCCCCAGGGGTCGGTCCCCTCCCGCGGGGCTCTGCCGTACCTCACCGTTGTACTGCTTGCGATAGGTTTTCTTCCACAGGTCCCACTGGGCGTCCAGCTCCCGCTCGGGGTGCAGCTGGGCCACCACCTTGGGGACCAGCAGGGCCAGCAGCGTGGGCCACCACATCCTGGGGAACGGGGACAGAGGCTGAGCTCGGGAGGGCTGGATGGGGGGCAGGACCCCGTGCCCACCCCAGGGCTGGGCTGTAGGGGCTGGGACTCCGAGTCCATCCCGTTTCCAGCCCACGGGGAACCCTGCGCACCCCGTTATTGAGCCACGAGGGACCGGGACCCCGTACCCACCCCATTGCCAGGCCGTGGGAACCAGCACCTCCTGCCCACCCTGGTTTTGGGCTGGGCCCCCACCCTGTTTCGGGGCCGGGACCCCGCCGTGGCCAGCGCTGGCGGGGCGCAGGCATCACATGAGCCGGGACAGCTGGTTCCCGTTACCGCCCCGCTGGCGCCTTTCCGGCAGCCCCAGGCCCTGAGGAAACCGAATTTTGGGGGTGCAAGGAGCAGAGGGTGCAGGTGGGGGGAGGTGCAGGCATCCTGCCCCTTCCCTTGCTTTACCCACTCGCCCCCC